TTTGTTGTGGAAAATGAACTTGAGGGAATTGCCCCAAGTGCCACAAATAGAGGTAGGCCCTCGGGGGGGAAAAGGATGCTTTCTGTCATGCAAAGTATTTATCAATGAAATTATGGAGTCTGAAATACTGTATAAGATTTTTACCACTCAAAAGTAGAATATCATGTATATTTCAGAGAATCTCTGTACACCCTTAAAAAGAAGGCTGAATTCAACAGTCTATATATGTAGGTCTTAAGGGTAGCCCAAAATGGTGTTTAATCTTTTGATTATTATCTTAGATTATTTCTTTGTAATTATTGCAAATAATAATTTGTAATTGGCATACTATGTTATCTTCATGTTCTTTTAAGCAAGTCTCAAAATAAGTGTATGTTTTGGGACATTATGTTCTCAATTTTCTTAACAGCTGAATGTTCTTCTTTCAATCCAATAAAGTAGTTAGAACAGGCTTCTCCAAAATGCATAAAAATTCATTATTGCTTTTATAAACTCTTAAAAAATCTGGAAGTAGAAAATTCACTTAATAATGTGCTTTTTTTTTTTTTTTTTTTTTTAGCTTCAGTGACGCTACTTGAAAGCTTAAAACTTATTTTATGTTGTGATGCTTTTCTTAGGACTAAAGCATGTAGCTATCAGGATCAAGTGTTACTATGAATGCTCAGAGTCAGCACTTCTCCCCAAGAAACTAGATGCACTCACAGAATGTCAATATCCAGTTTAGCAACTATTGGTAATTGTCTTCATAAATCTTGAGCGGTAAAAACACCATAAGAGAAAGCTGCCGCATCTTGCTAATACACTGTTGTCTGGAAAACTTTGTTCTTTCAACAAAAATTTCTCAGTGTTTTTCAAAAATATATAAAGTATCACTATTAACTTTATAGGTATCATATTACAATAATATTATGAGCTTTGTAGAATACTGTAGTAACTAACAAATAGTGTGAGCAAGTTTATCCCTCTTAATAAATACAAAATCTAAGTACTTTTAAGAAACAGCATAGTGTCTAAAACATCATATAATATAGTCTCAGCATACTTTGAATGAGCTCTCTCTGCACTAATTTACTGATTTGTAAGATAAAAATGGTGAACGTCCTAGGTGCAATGTTTTGTAAGCTGATCAGTGCTTACAAAAGGGGTTTTAATTTGATTGGATATATTCTATGAGAAGAGCTATCAACAACAAAATATCAAAAATATCAACAACAAAAAAGTCCTGGGAGAATGAGCTTCACAATTTTTTATATCATCTCCTCTATTCAGATATTTTTCTTTTAATTTTTTTCTTCTTACTGTTGTAAACTGACTGTTGAACCTGTTTGCAATTGCATGAGCTGCTACTGCTAATTTAACAATATCCCTGTAGAGTCCTGTGAGTTACTGAGCACTGAGAAAGGTCTCAGCTGGAGTTTGTGTCCAGTTCCAGAATTAATAGCTGACAAAGAAGTGAGGACAGAGGAACGATAGAATAGGCTTAAGAGGAAAGTTGCAGACTTTCTACCAGAGCAGGCTTTTATGAGCTGTTTAGACAAACACCTATGAGGAGGAAGGCAGAGCTGGTTCTGCCCTGGAGCACGGGATGGATCCAAAGGTGATCTCTTAAGGTATCTGTGATGTTTTTGTTCTGATTTCCCAAGGCAATAAGGCCTATGTGACCTTGTTATGGTAGTGATTGCTATGATTGCTGTCAGTCCTCTCTAACAGCTTTTGAACCTGAGGACTTAAAATTGTCTTGGAAGGTGTTGTAATGAACAGAGGAGAGAGACTAAAAGTAATGTGGTGAGGAGTAACCTCTGTGCGGGTTAATCTCGAGTGAGGAGAGGGGTAGGAAAAAAATCCATCAGAAACAAAGCTGAATTCGTTTCTCTAATAGAGAGGACTGGGAGGTCCTGCAGTTCTCATTTTTTAAGCTAAAACTTAGCGTGTGTTTTCAAGACGAAAGTCTTAACCACAGAGATGCTTTGTAATAAACCACACAGATTGTGGAATTGATAAGGGTTCTGGTTCTCCTATTGACTACCTTCTTTGAAGTTTTGACTATTGAACAGGCTTCTGTATGTTCAAAAAGTACATCAGGTGGCTTGGCCCTATTTTGTACTAAGGCAAGGTAGGGAAAAAAGCTCATATTAATAGCATGATGCTTCAGGAATATGCCCCTTTCTATCCAGAACAAAAAAATAATACTTTGCTTAACCATCACCTTTTTACTTAAGAACTCAAGTAAGTCAAGAACTATGATGGGAGCTGTTTGCAGCCTAACCTACGGTTTTGTCATCATTTCTGAGGGTATTGCTACCCACAGGAAAAGGCTCATTAACCAGTGCATAGCTACAAGATTTGCAGGGGAAAAATAGCTGAAAAGAGGTGTTGTGCTCCTATAGTTGTCTTCCTTTGGCAACTACGTTGTTTACAGTAAGGAGAATTCCTTAATAGTGGGATTTAAAAGTGCTGCCTTGCATTACTACAGTAGGATACTCACAGGGAAGCGCCTCTCGGAGGAGCGAGGCTTGGTGGGTTGGAGGCAGGAAGGTTGCACAGAACGAAGCACTTGCTGGTCAGGAAAGGGACAGAGAGCCCCTCCTTAGCCACCTGCATAATCAGCTAAACTAGCCAAGAAAGTGCTGCAGCTATTCGGGTAGTAGAAAACTGGCATGAATCCATCTTTTGCCGTATTTTACTGGAAAGCAAATAAACAGGAGCTGATCTCTGGCAAAAGAGCGGGTGTGGGGTGCCCGGCTGCCGCGCGCCGGCCGCGCGCGTGTGGGAGCGCACACGCGTGTGCGTGAGCAGGCCCGGCCCGGCGCGTGCAAAGTTTGGCGGAGCAGGAGGAGGGGTTTGTCGCAGCCGTCCCGCAGGAGCGAGGCGCGCTCGCCGCCCGGGCCCG